TAAGGTGATCAGACCGGGGACTTACCATCTCAAAAGACTGAACGGTTCCAAAGTACCCTGAGCTTGGAATGCCGAACACCTCCGGCCATACTACCAGTAATCCCGAACTTAGGTCTCAATCAGTTTATGTTAATTTCATTTCTAATGTAAAGCTTAATTTTGTTCGCTAGAAACAGTTCGTATGTGTTCTGTTCACGTGTAAGAATTTGCATGTAATATTGCTTATGTGAACTGGATTGTAAATTAAACTTATGTATGAAAAAGAGAACTGCAATTGAAAAGAAAATGTATCTTCATTTATGTACAAACAAAAGTTAGACCCGATTACAATGGAGTCGACTCATTACACTACGGCTGGTCGGGGGGATCCTTCGAACCAGAACCCCCCGCCTGGTCGGGTCGTTGGGTGGCCGCGGCTGCCTGATCGTCTTCCTCAGCCATGATCCGTAAAGTCTCTCGCCACCCCTCCGGGAGGTCAGAAATGTCCATATCTGGGTTCCTTAATCGGAGGGAATAAATGGACCCGATCACCCAGTCGGTGGCCTTTTCCTCTAGCTCCTCTGACTGATTCCGCATTTCTTCAGTTAGTGAAGCAATCCTTTCACGACTCTCCTAGAGTTCAGCCTCAAGAGCTCGCTTCTCCTGTTCGGAGGCCTCCCTTTCTTGTTCGACTCGCTGGGCCCATACGGAGGTCGCTTGGATCTCCTGGTCCTTCTCACCGACCACTTTGGAGAGCCTGGCGGTTGTCCTTTGGAGTTCCTTCACATCCTCTGCACGTCGCTCAAGCTCCGCCTTTTGGAAGTCCACCAGTCGTAAAGCAGCATCCTTTTGGCTCAGATACCTATTCGCCGCATCGAATGCTTGTGTTCTCTCAGCTTCGGTGGACTCCAGGCTTTTCTTGAGCTTCGCGACCTCCTCCTGTAGGTCGCTGGACCCCTTCACGGCTCCCAGCCGAGTCCTCTCCATAGACATCCTCATTGCAAGTAGAGCCTGCAAGCAAAAAATGGTTAGAAATGAACCAAAACAAAATTTTAAGAACAGCTCGTTTACCTTGCTTAGATGCTGGAACGACGTGGTCATCAGGTCGTCACCTGTGTCAGCGAACTCGTCGTAAGACTCCGATAGTCCACACTCGAGCAGAGAATAGACTATTGGCTACAGGTACTCGGGCAGGCTCCTCAGCGAGTCCAGCACTGGTATGTCCTTCACCTTGTCGGAGGTGATCGCCTCGCTTGCAGGTAGGTTCCTTGCCCGACCTCCTTGAGTCCCTTCGTGACCTCAAGGGCTCCTCCTCGGATTCGGTCTCAGACTTTTCAGCCTGAACCTGTTTCCTCTTCTTCGACCTTTGGGCCAGAGCCTTACGCCTTGGGTGTGCTGGTGGTGCCTGAGCGACCTGTTCTGCTCTGGTCGCTTCATGCACAGGGGGCTGCAAAGGTGCAACAGTTCGCACCGGTTGTGCAGGAATGGGACGAGCAGCTTTGGCCGCTCTCTCCCTCCTCGATCGAGGGAAGACGAACGGTGCTCGTCGGGGCTGCTCGGATTCCTTCAGGGGCATAGTTTCTGCATGCAAGTGCGTTAGTAAAGAAAACTGCTCCGCGACCAGGACGGAAATCAATGTAACTTACCTTCCAAGGGTTCTAAAGACGCTTTGTTGCTGATAAAACCGTACTTCCGCAAGTTCGCGGTTGTCACGAGCTTCCTTGCGTCCCGACTTTCCTCGTCTAGTACTCCAAAAGATACGAGCCTGTCCGGGTCGTCAAGTAAATCCTGGCTGGTCATTCTGTTAACTGCAAAAGAATACAGGTCGTTATCATAAAGCATGCGAGCAGGTTATATACCTAGCGAAGAAGAACCTACTTGGTGTTAGGAAGCGGCAGTAGCCATCATAGCAGAAAAAGAAGAATTTCGTCTCGTAAGCCCCCGCGTTGCTGGGATAGCTATGTATCCCCTCGGCGATGGTAGGTCGCCGGGACAAGTAATTTGAATCCTTGTCCCTACTCTTTTTAAGGTAATAGGCGACGCCAAGCTCCACCGCCGTTGGCTCGCCCAGGCCGCTTTCGCAGCACGCGATGTACATCGCAACGGCGATGACATACGCGTTTGGTGTGAACTGCATTGGTGCGATCCCGAAGTGATCCAGGACCGACCTGATGAAAGGATGGAAGGGAATCATCCCTCCACCCTTGAAGATCTCCTCGGAGATCGCAACAAGGCCGTCAGCAGGATGCCGTGACAACTGGGTGTGGTCGAGGAACACCTCCGTGCGGACGTCAAACTGCTTTTTTATCCTATTAAGCTCTTCTTGGGTGAGAACCGAGAAGACATCAAGGGATGTGTCCTCGGGAACGTCCCGCGAGGACGAGCTAGCCGCTTCCTCGGGTCTGGACGTTGACGAATCCATTCCAGAGTCTGCAACACCGACAGACACGGTCATTTAGGCCCTCGTGTTTTGTCCCGTGCGGCGGCAGGGGACAAATTCCTAAAACCCTAACAGTAACTTGAGCCGCCACCCACGGCTCGAGTCCGGCAACAGTGGCGCGTCTCTGGTGGAACACCAGGAGGTCCAACGCCGTTGCCCACCAACCAAACAAATGCAAAAAAGAAAAAGAAGAGAATCTTACCTTCTGGGATGTGTAACCGAGGCCGAAACTCGCTTCAGTTGCCTGAGAAGCGCCGATCGGAAAAGAATAATTTCTGGTTTGCAAAGGCTTGTCACTCGAAGCAAAAGGGGTTTTCGTGACCTCATATGAAAAATGTGAGTTTTTATACGGACTGCGAATCGACGGTTACCACCTCTCGAAACCGAAACGACGGGCTTCTCTCTCTCTCCGCATTTAATGCGCCCCACGTCGCATTAAATGACGTGATAGGAGTCGTCGTTTCAAATGCGTCGTGCAGTTAAAGCTGTCAAAACGACGCCGAGTCAGCACAGCGCATTTAATGCCTCTGGCAGACACTGCAGCGCGTGCAGAGCGCCTGACAGCGTGGATGCAGGTTCATTGAATCTCTCCAAGGCACGTAAAAGAGCGCCCGACGAATCCAGGTCGTTAAAATGACGATTGTCAGGTCGTCTGGGCGAGAATTGTGCGAGGTCGTGTTCGTCGAAGGTCGTGTCCCGAGCTTCTTCTATTCAGGTCAGAACAACCAAAACCTCCAACCGCTTCGTGACTTAGTTTCCAAGGTTCGACCCTCAAACCTTACAAACTAGGGGGCTTTTGTTATGACTAAGAAATCAAAGGCTGACGTGGAGTTGCGTGACGAAACGTGGCCTGCTCCCGTCAGAATGGTAAGCGCACGTCAGGCCTGCCAAACGCCCTGGTGCTCCCACGTGTCCNGGGTATAAATCTAAACCTTTGGATTTATTTTTCTGCAGATTCATATTATGCATAAACTGTAAAATCTATGCCCTGATTTTGGGTTCTAAGGAACGATCCGTAGTTGTAAAATTTTTGTTTTCCGCTGCGCAACCGGGTCGTTTCCTAACAAAATAATCCTAATAATCCACTAAGTACATGCGTATTTTCAAGCTCTTATCACAACTCCCAACCAGTTTCTTGCTAGTCCTTAGCAAACTAAGCGATAAAAACATGTCTTCTAGCTTGAAAATTAAAACAAAATAAACCTAAATCTAATCTATCCTAAATCACTTTTGTAGATTGACATGGTTGCATTTAGTGTATGCAACAAGCCTTTAAACCCGTAGGCGGCCCTAGTTGGATGAGTTGTAGTCTTGTGAGGGTTTCCAGTAATGATACCCACAAACATCGAAACCAAACCTAACCTAGACTCAAAACTAAACACTCAAACCAAATATTTTAGGATCAATACATATGTTTGAATCAAAAATTGTGTCTACGTGCAAAATTTGAATAATCAATATCACGTAAATATATAGAATAAGCAAATATCAATTACACTTTTGTTATAGACCCTCTCATATAATCAACCACAAACCATTTATCCAAAAACCCGGACGATTTTATGCATAACATTCATAGGCAAAGAAATTTGATCTCCCAAAAAAAAATCTCATAAAAAGAAACAATAAAATCGTACAATCAAACTCCATAGGCTCACTTTTCAAACCACTCTATACTAATGTAGAATCCAAACACTACCTTGGATCATTAGGTCTTTATAATGATTGTAATGTTAGGCTAAGGTAATGGGTTATGAAAGAGCATAAATGAATTTTGCAAGTGTAACAAACTTAATATTTTACAATATATGCCATGAACACCCATTTTTGTGTGCAATTGTAACAAGCTTAATATTTTACAATATATGACCATGAACACCCATTTTTGTGTGCAATATTTTACAATTTTGCATTCTTTCAAATGCAAGAATGATTCAAATGCATCATTTTTGTGCAAGAAACAAAACCCATGTAAAACATGAATAATCATCAACAATCACAAAACAATAATGCTTACCTCCTAGACTAGTTGTCCTTGTGGAACCACACAAATTCATATACAACAATTGTAAAGTTCTAAAGGTTGATACAACATTCTTTGGTTTAAAACAAACACATGTTTGTTTGCCTTTTGCACATGCATCATAAACATGATATATTTTGAAAACAAGCTTAGGCAAACCATGCACTAATTCTCTTTTTGAAAGCTTTGCAATAACATCCATGCTAGCATGACCTAATCTTTTATGCCAAAGCCAACTATTTTCGTCTTTTGTGGACAAAACACAAAGATCTTTGGATGCAATGTCATACAAATAAGCAATATATATATTTGAATGTCTATGACCTATAAATGCAATCTTATTAGTCCTAAACTTGTTGACTTCACAACACATGGATTGGAAAACAACTTTAAAGCCCTTGTCACTCAGTTGACTAATACTTAACAAATTATGCTTCAATCCATCAACAAGCAACATATCATGAATGGTTAGAGACTTGTTACTAAGAGAAGAGACTTGTTACCAATAAAGCCAATTCCAATGACTCTTGCTTTTGAGTTGTCACCAAAGTGGACATTTCATCCATTCTTTAGCTTCAATGAGGTGAACAAGCTCTTATCTCCCGTCATATGTCTTAAGCATCCACTATCAAGATACCACTCATTTGTTTCTTGCTTCTTTGCTTCAATACACACCTACACAATGAAAACATTTATGTACTTTTTGGTACCCAAATAGTCTTGGGTCCATGCGAGTAAGTTTCAACCACTCCCTTAGGAATCCAAAACCTTTTTACCACAAAAGGCCTTCCTTTCCTAATGGGACATTTTTTTGTGCTATGATCAAGATACTTGCAAAAACCACATTTCCCATAAGATGATTTTGACTTGATGGATGGTTTATGTGTTTTGTTAAAAGATTTTTCATTTGAAAACATGTTGTAACCCAAACCTTACTTGTTAAAAGCACATCTTTGTGAAGCAAACATTTCATCAAGTCTCTTACTCTGTAAAGTGAATTTACTCAAAATTTCTTTGGTATTTTCAAGCTCATTTTTGAAACTAATGTTTTCATTTTGGAAATCCTCACAAGATAGTTTTAAAACATCAATTTCTTTACTCAGAAGAATTTTATCACATGCCACTCAATCAAAATCATCCTTGAGTTGCTCATACTAACTCAAAAGTTTTTCATGATCACTCAAGAGTCTTTCATGCTCATTTTTCAAAGTACATGCTTGTTTCTTTAAAACATGGTTTCTTAAAAAAACTTTTTCATATTCTTCCGTTAATGACTCAAATGCACATTGTAATTCATTGAAAGAAAATTGTTCATAGTCATTTACCTCAAATTTGGAGTCTCCTTCCGAATTACATTCGTTGGCCATGAAACAAAGGTTGACTTGCTCTTCATCTGACTCATCTTCATCACTTGAGTCATCACTTCCACTCCATGTGATTGCAAGAACCTTTTTCTTGTAGAAGTTGTCCTTCTTCTTCCATTTGGCTTGAGGACAATCTTGATGAATATGGCTCGGCTTCTTACATTCATGGCAAATGATGTCCGATTTGCCCTTCTCATCTTCATTTCTTGGTTTGAACCTTTGGAAGTTTGAACCTTTGAATCTTTTGTTCCTTCTAAAAACTTTTGTGAATCTTCTTGCCAAGAAGTTGATTTCATCTTCCTTCATAGAGGAATCACCTTCCTCTTATTCATTTATTCTCTTAAGGGCAATCTCCCTCATTGGTTTGCTCTCTTCTTCTTTTAGCTTTCTCTTCATCTCAAAATTCAATAAGCTACCAATGAGCTCATCCATTTTCATTTTGGTGAGATAGTGGTGATTTTCATTGTCCAACTTTCCAACAATGAATGAAGGATTTTCTTTACAAGCTCAAGAGTTTCAAAACTCTTTCCAAGACCCTTGAGGTCGTTCATGAAGTTGGAAAACCTTTTGTACATGTCTGTGATGCTTTTTCCGGTTTTCATCTCAAATAGCTCACAGTCACGGAATAGCATCTCAATCTTTGATTCATTCACTTGACTTGTTCCTTCATAAGTTGTTGGAAGGATTTCCCAAGCATCTTTGACCGTTTTGCATGGCAAAACTCTTCCAAACTCTGTAGCATCAAGAGAACAAAACAAAATATTTACAGCTTTATAATTTAAACTCAATTTCTTTTCATCATTGGTTGTATGGGCATCTTCCTCTTTTGGAAGACTTATATTAGGGTCCATGGGAATAAAGTTCCCTTGTTCTACTATGTTCCACATGGACCTAATATGAAGTCTCATTCTAATTCTCCATTGTGTGTAGTTAACACCACAAAACAATAGGGTCTTGTAATACATAATACAATGACCTTCATTAAAGAAAGTTGTTGATGTATTAGTCATATCTAGATCGTCTAACTCTTAAAACTGTTAGGTTTTATACACAAGAGCCCAAGCTCTAATACCAATTGTGAAACCCAAATATGGCAAATAGTCCTAGAGGGGGGATGAATAGAAATCAACGAAAATAAGTGCGGAATAAAAACTTACACCAACCACACAAGTTATAAACAAATGTCAATAATAATGATAAACAACAAATGACAATGTTAATGATCAACAAATATAAAGAGTAATACTACACATACAACATTTTCATACAATATTATGTGGCAAAATATGATTGGTTGATTTTAAATTAAAATTAAATTTTCACCCAATCATCTTTTGCCACATAATGTTGTATGAGAATATTGTATATGTAGTATTATTCCAAATATAAATAATGATGAGTAATAAATGTGAGCAATAAGTATGAGCAAGTGATAATGCTGAGCAAGTAATAAATATGCAAGGAATAATAAATGAGTCGAGAGAGAAGAAATGCTCAGAGATTTATAGTGGTTTGAAGTTATATCCACAAACCTCCTATATCTACTTCTTCAAGGTAACCTCTTTGAACTTCCACTAGAATCGGATTGCACTCTTTACACTAGTTTCGTAGGATTTCACCTCTAGATTTATAGGATTTCACTCACAAGAAGTTTGAATAAAAGTTTGTGATTGATTGCCTCTCAAACTAGGCTTAAACACACAATAAGAACAATAATACTCGTAAAAGTTTTCAATATGAGTACAAAAGAGAGTTAATGATTTAAATTTGTAGCTCAAGGGATTATATGAGAATGTTTTTTATAATACTTTTGTTTCTCTGATATTCTCTCTATCTTTCTTGCAATAAAATTGCTTTATTTATTGCTTTTCCCTCTCTTTTGAAGTAAAAAGTCGTTGCTACATTTAATGCACCTGTGAAAAACTACAGTACCTAGAAGAACAGTCGTTCCACCATCACAAATGATCGTTCCTAACATAACAGATACTTTTACTCATCTCTAGGGTTTATGGAATGATCGTTACACCATCGCGATGGCGCGTCACTATCGTGAACGGTCATTCGATCACATGGAACGGTCAGTCCATTGGCTCCTTAAAATTCATGAAAATTTCAAAAGGATTAACGGCTTCCTAGAACGATGTCTTTCTTCCAAGGAACGATCGTACGACGTGTGTTCCGCTTGAAACACTTGTACTTCAACTTGATCTTCAAAGCTTGGTCTTCAAGACTTGTCAAAATCGCAAAATCACTTGAATTTGAATACTTTGACTTTTGACTTAATTGGAACAGTAGTGTAGCTTGGTCATGCTATTGCGAATGACTTGACATGATTTTGGGCAGAGGCATGGACGATCTCCTAGAATGACGTCATACTATGAGGAACGTTCATCTGGGTAACTTTATGAAACTAGGAACGGCCGTTCCTTCTTCCTACACAATCATACCATCTAGGAAAAACTGTATTTTTATTTTGGTTGACCTTGTCATACCTTTGCATGTTAGTTAGATATGAATCAACTTTTTGATTAGTTTTGACATATCAAAACACATAAGGGCTCAACAAGAATCTTCATGGAAAATGAAAACG